TTTTTGTGAATTCAGGTTTCCCAAAGTTTGAGGTAACTTGTAGCTTTAGCTGCTGGGAACATGGTGCTTAAAAGAAGCCTGGTGCTTTGCTGCCTGATTTWGTGTAGGTTTTGGTCTGGTGTTTGCTTTCTGAGGCTCTTGCTCACATCAGAGGTGTAACCTGGAGGGCTGTCACAGTGGTATGGATGGGTGCTCTAGTCAATACCTTTTATTCCGCCCCTTTTTAAAATTCAAGGCAGAGATGCTTTTAAAAACAAGACAGCCATTAGTGGTGCTTTGTAAAATACAGCTCTGAGACGTGTTTGTCTGCTTCTTTACTTAAGACAGCAAGCAACAGCTCYGCTTCTGATGAAGCTTTGTGCTGCCTTTCTCATACTGTCAGCTGTAGCTTCTGCGAGTAGCTGCTGTTGGCTCTCTATCCCCTTTCTTAGAGTTTTTTTTGCCCAGTTTAACTTTGTCATGCTGCTTAGCTGTCTGCTTGTGATGTGTGTGAAACTCTATAACTTTCCAGAAGTCTTCAGCATGTTTCTCCTGATGATGCAAAGCGCGAGATAAAGCTGTGCTCTCCAAACTGCGGACCTCTGTTAGGGTGCTGCAGTATGAGAGTGTCAGGGYGAAAGGTTTGTTCCCTTACTTTGGCTTGCAGGACGGTCCCTTCTTCAAGCTGCTGTCCTTTCTCCAACCTGCTTTTGCTGGCCTGGTGCTCACCCTGTCAAACACGGTGCTTCCCAGTAGTGGAGGGAGATGTGTCCTGGGAAAGTGTTTTTARTGTTCATCTGATRGCCCTTACTTGCTTTAAGGTACAGACCATTATGGAGAATTGATTTCATGGTGGCACCTGTTGTTAAGAATTAAAGGAAGTCTCTTCTGATCTGTAAATCTTAAACTTTGTGCAGGCTCTTAAAAGCAGCAGATTGAAGAATTTTTAGTCTTAAGCTTTTTCATATTAAGCAGCATTTGAGATTATAGGGATCCAAACAAATCTGTGGTTTACTACTATGGCTTGATAGAGATTTAAATGCTATGTTATAAATTACAAGATGGAAAAAAATCCAATATCTTTTTTTTCTTTACCCCTAAAAAGCTTCTTTTCTTAACCATTATGTTCAATGGCTGAGCAAGTCTGCAGCACTTCAGAAAGTGGAAGAAGGGATTCACAAACCATTTCATTTGGTCTTAGTTCTAAGTCACTACCTTTTTGTTTGTTTGAAAATAGCTAAAAATTDTAGTGCTGGTCTTTAACAGAAAAGCAGAACCCGGCTGTGCTACTTGAGCAAGCATTTACTGAAGTGTTTCCATGGTCTGAAATAATTGGKTAAAGYAGGACATGGAGCCATAAAAGAAACTAGTAAGTTGCAGCACTTTGTTTTGATGACTTTGTCACTCATAAGAGGGACACGAGAGACACTTGCAGTGTCCCTCGTGGCTTTGGCTGGTGTTGTGCAAAGGGGAGTCCTTGGCATGGGCAGGCGTGAAGGGTCCCGCGAYAGCCCGACCTGGGGCAACATCTTATCTGAGCTCTGCTTCACGTAGGTAGGGGCACTTTGCAGAGCCTGGCCGCGCTGTGCTGGGCACAGAAGGAAATGGTGCTCGGCTGCGTGTGGAGCTTTCTCAAGGGGTTCTTGGAGCTAAAAGGTAAACGAGGTCGGGCCGACRGTTTTGGAGTTTACCCAAGGCTTAGTCTGGTGCCTGGTGGTGTGTGGGAGAGGAGTGTGTTTATGCCTGCAGTTGCATGCAGCAAGRTGGGCAAAGCTTGAAGCAGAGTGCCCCAGCAATGGGAAGCGGTGTCTCCGGCACAGAGAATAAGGAGTCCACTAGCTCCTCGGGCACAGGAGAGTGAGAGAGGGTGATGGAAACCAAACACAATCTAGAAATGTAAGGATCAAGCCTGATTTTTTTTTTTTTTTGTTCATTTGTTTTGTGTTCAAAAACTGTCCCTTTTTTCCCATGCCTTGAGCTCTCCCTACCAGATAGCAGGATTTTTTTTTTTTCCTTTAGGCCAGTTATGTTTTTTAATTTGTCCTTTAAAGAGACACTGCCAGGTTCTCTCATCGCTGCCTTTACAGTGATGCAGAATCTTGTGAGAGCTCTGGCTTGCAGGAGCAGCAAATGCAGGAGCAGCTTGTGCAGCAGCCCCAAAGTGTCTGAGTGTGAATAGCTGAGCAGAGTTACGGGATGGCCCTTGTCCTTGTACGTGCTGGAGATGTGTCCGTGTCACTCTTTGGCTTCCCTGCCCTGAATGTGAGGCGCTACATGAACCCTCTCTGAAGGAGTGTCTGAAACTGCTTGTTTCTTGGGCTTCTTAGAAGCAGGCTAAATCATCTTACCTTTTCTGTTTCTTTAAAAGCTCACACCGTGCTTCAGACTCATTTATATTTTTACTTTATCCTCACTGGCACCCTAAGAATCATCTGCCTGGCATGGTACTAAATTTCACACTGTTACCTGTCTCCAAGCCAGTTCTTCTCCAAAGCTGAATGTTTCTTGGCACTCTTAGTATTCCAGACACCTCTGCTTGGATTTTGTGCGTTAATGCTGTGGGCTGACCTTCTTTCAGAGCGCCAGTCGGAGCTGCCAACGCAGAGCAAGGCCAGTTTCCCCAGCATCCTCAGCGATCCTGACCCGGATTCYTCCAACTCCGGGTTCGACAGCTCCGTGGCCTCCCAGATCACGGAAGCCTTAGTGAGCGGGCCAAAGCCTCCCATAGAAAGTAGGTGCTTTTCTGCCTCTCTGTTTCCGTGGCTCCTGCCATGTGGTGTTATTTCGCTCCTCCAAATGGAACGCCGTGTGACGCAGAGCACTTGGAAGGTCTGAAACTTGACCCTGTTGCCTTTTCAGGTCACTTCCGACCGGAGTTTATTCGACCGCCGCCTCCGCTCCACATATGCGAGGACGAACTGGCCTGGTTAAACCCCATAGAACCAGATCACACAATTCAGTGGGATAAGTCGATGTGTGTTAAAAACAGCACTGGAGTGGAGATAAAGCGAATCATGGCCAAAGCCTTCAAAAGTCCCCTGAGTTCCTCACAGCAAACACAGGCAAGCAGTGATATTTTTACAGTTTTCTGCCTAAGTTGCATGTGCATTAGAAGTCTTGGGTCATTTCAACTGAATTCGGATCTATCTTCTGATTATTCAAAACACTTTGAATACTTTACATTGTCAAAGCCTCAGAATTTTGACTTGGCTTTGTGTAGATAAGGCGAAAATCTTTATACTTCCTGGCATTGACTGGATATGGTTAAAGCTAATCAGTAATTAGCACCAGGATTTCACTGCTTGGAAAATCTCCTTGGACCCAAGTTGTGCTTCAGTGGACAYTTTTGATAAGAAAATAGTTCAGAAATGTGGCRTCTTCTAGTATGTGGTAATACTAGCCATGAATTCTTTGGGCTTTTATGTTGTTTATGTTTTTGTCTTTTGTAGAACTTCTTCTGCTGACAGAGAAATTGATTTTTTTTTTCTGCTAAGCAGAAACCTAAAGAAGGCTGAGCCTTTATGTGTGGGGGTTTATTTTGTTGTTTTCTTTTTTTTTCCTCTCTCTTCCTTGCTATCCTTTCATACAAGCCTATTAAATGCCTTTTAAAGGAATAGGCGTCCCTGTAGATACATCTTCAATATTTCTATTTAAGGACATCTAACAGAGGTGTCTAAATAATGTTCATCATTCTCCTGTAACTCTAGGGGGATTATAGCTGCCRTTTCGAGCAGCAATAGGAATAGTTTAGAAAAAGTCACCTATTGATGGCACACCTTGTCTATCTCCAAGTCGAGGCCACCTGAGCAGGTTTGCTCACTTATCCTGCAGCAAACGGARTGAGGTGGCTGGTCAGTGACTTGTGTTGTCACTGACTACCCCTGTYATCTCCATGGGATAGGGTTACTCTAGATGCAAAGCTGCAAGTAAATGCCTTACTCTTACTTARATTGTTTAATTTGAGTGTAATGAGTATGAATCGTTTTGTTTGAAATGCAACGTTTCTTCTTCATGCTTCTGGTATTCTGGTATTAAGGCAGTAGATRCTAAGAAATGAATCAGAATGAAGTCCAGGTTGTGTTTTAGGTCAGCAGCTCTTTTTGCAGCTGGTTACCAGAACTCAAGAGTCTCTTCTTTCTTTGCAGCTCCTTGGAGAACTGGAGAAGGACCCCAAGCTTGTGTATCACATTGGGCTCACTCCGGCCAAGCTGCCTGACCTTGTAGAAAACAATCCTCTCGTAGCTATAGAAATGCTGCTCAAATTGATGCAGTCAAGCCAGATCACAGAGTATTTTTCTGTCCTGGTCAACATGGACATGTCGTTACATTCGATGGAAGTGGTGAATCGGTAAGTGGCATCTCTAATCTAAGCAAGTTTTATTAAGGATGTAAAATGTGACTGTGGTGCTGGTCACAGGGGTACGTTTGGATCAACTTCCAAGGCTTAAAAGAAACAGGAGATGAGGAAATGACTGGGCAGCTTACAGTGAAGGAAAAAGAGAGAATCAGGCGGTCATTCCCCTTTCAGTTTCTCTATGCTCTTTATGTGTTCTTTTTTGTTGTTTGTTTGTTTTTTTTATATATCCCCTCTTACACTAAAACATAAYGTTCAAATCCAATACTGACCTCCTCTACAGGATGAATTTATAGATTTCTGCAAGTATTGGACTATGTAGGCATTTTCCCTTGCTTCATAGGTGATTTCTTTTTCTGTAGTCAAACAACAAAGACAACKCCTGGCCTAGATTGAATTCGTGAAGTGAGGTGTGGGTTGATAATTGAAATTTGGAAATCTGAAAGAAGGGAACTGTTTTGAAGCAAGCAAGAGTTCGTTCTGGCTCTGTACTTTGGGAGGGAGCTCRGCATCTGCAGCCGCAGAGCTCTGCTGCAGCGAGTGCTGAACTCAGGCTTGGTGCTCAGACAAGTGCCRTTCAATCCGTTCCTCCTTAATTCGGGATGAGCATCCCTGGCTCCTTTATGTAATGTATAGCAAGTGTTTGTGAAGTAAAGACCAGGGCTGGGTTAGAAACAAATCAGCTTAGCTTCTGTGTTGTGCCTGATGTCAAAAAATGAGTTCTGGACTCTGGCTGGAAAAAAAAGTACCATGTCTWTAAATATGTCTGTGGAAGCTGTGAGAAAATAGTTCTGTATGACAAGTCCCAGGAATTGAAGTTAGAGGTCCACAGTTACCTGGTTTGAAATGGAATAGCCGAGATTTCAGGCTTCATAAATCACTGGATACTTTTAATTGGAACAGGCTCACTACCGCAGTTGATCTCCCTCCTGAATTTATTCATCTCTACATCTCTAACTGTATCTCAACCTGTGAACAGATTAAAGACAAATATATGCAGGTAAGTACCTCGTGGTAAATCAGTTGGGGAAAAGGGTCCCCTCACTCTGTTCAGTATGTGCTGAAACTATAAGGCTGATACCATTATATTATTCTGCTTTAGAGTGCCTTTATTTCAAAGGCTAATCTTTTTTCCCTAATGAAGTGCCTGTTTTTTCATACACTTTGTGTGTTTCTCCACCTTTTTCACAAGACTTCACAGGTATTTAATTTTTTTTTTATAAACATCATATACTTCTCCCTGGCTAAACCACAATTCAGTGACTTGTATTCTTCCATGCAGGGGGGTTTCTGTTACTCTCTTCATGCCCCAGCATCAGATGGGTCCTTGGCTCCTTTTCCCCTTCAGCAATAGCTATTACTGAGGCACAGCAGCTTGCAGGAYGCCTCAAAGGCCCCAAACCATTTTTCTCTTACTGCCCTCCCACCATTCCCGCTGCTTCCCAAACTTGCCTGTCTTCCTTAATGCTGGCACATGAGCTGTGCCCGCTCCAGGGAACTTCATTTAGCTGTGGAGACCTACCTGCATGGCTTTGGCACAGTGTCCTCTGTGTGCTGGGTGAGGTACATCCTTCCCAGTTAAACAAGACCTTAAGTTTTACCAAGTGCCCAGTATGCCCTTTCTTCCAGGATTTGGTGGAAAGCAGTTCCATGTTTGGTTTGCCCAARGCTTTGTAAACCGTGGTAGTTCCTCCCCAGCTTGTCATCCTGAAGAGTTGCAGCCTCTTGAGAGGCAGATGTTGCTTTCCCTTGAGATTTTTCTCCTGTCCTTCTCCAACTCCGCTATTCCTTAAGCTGCAGAGACCAAACCTGTCCTGTAACAACGGCGGGGTTCACACGCGCTTCCGCGGCAGGTGAAACTGCATCTTTTCTCTTCCAGAACCGCCTCGTACGTCTCGTTTGTGTCTTTCTCCAGTCTTTGATCAGAAACAAGATAATTAATGTACAGGACTTGTTTATAGAGGTGCAAGCTTTCTGTATYGAGTTCAGCCGGATCCGAGAAGCAGCCGGCCTCTTCAGGCTGCTGAAGACACTGGATACCGGGGAAAATCCCTCGGAGGCGAAAGCTTCAAAATAAACCTCACCTTGCACACAGAAAGGAAATCAACTTTCTAAACCAATTTATTGTACATTTTAAGCTTAAATCATGGGATTAAATGATTTAATACACTATAAATAGCATTTTATGCATTTAAACAATAAATATTGCTTTTTTTTTCTGATAAATGTGCTTGAAGTGGTGAATGACATGTACTCTTGAACTTGTAGTCACAAGGTCCTTGACAGGCTCTGTTCCCTCAGGGAGATGTAAACACTTGAAGTTACCTGGCCTCCTCACTATGCCCAAAGCAGCTCAGGAACAGCTTAAGTCAACTTCAGTAAATGCCAGCTCCTGGGGCCTGCCTTTAGGAGCACTTGAGATTACACCCCTTAGTGCTGCACACTGCTATTTGGAGTAAGGAAAGGCTGAGGGCTGGCCCAAGCCAAGGCCTCCTCTAGCACTTYGTTTCYATTATAAACATTAAAGTGCCTCAGAGGTGGAGCACTGGGCTCCCTCCTCAAGGTCACTGACTTGCAGAATSCTGATTTCATGCCCAGTGTAGCTTCTGTGTTTTGATTGCAACTGTCCCAGGGAAGGGAGTGTGACCCCCTTTCTTCTATAATAGCACAGGTGAAGAGCGTGTTCCCACCTGGGCAGGCCCTTGTGGCTGCAGCTMCCACAATGAAAATAGCCTTTTGCCTGAAGCATCGAGGTAAGAAAGAGTATCAGTTGTATGTCAGAAGGCAAGTGCTGAGGAGAGGGGAGTAGAATATTATCTCTCATTGATGGGAGAACGAGTTGCTAGTGTTTAAGCCCTGAAATTTAAAAGCAAAATAACTGATCTTGAAGAGCTTCTTCTCTGTTTAATGGTGCTGGAGAAGTAACAGCTGCTGCAAGTTTGCATCTGCTCTTCAAATTTTCATGAAGTGCAAGATCAATAATGCAACATTGAGACTTTCTCTTGGCTTTATCTTTGCAAGTAATTTAAGTGGATAGATGGCTGGTTGAAAATCTCAATCTCTCACTTTACAGGAGATCATGTTGCATAAAAAGTCCTGTGAGATGAGTTCCCCAGGGCTTAGGTTTAGACTGACACAGCTTCTCCCAATTACAGAGTACTAAGTTTACTGAAGTCACTTTTATTTAAACTCTGCTTCAATTTTAGAAGCTCCTCCTTAAACTAGATAAGTAAGTTTGCTATAAATTACCCGTAACAGAAGAGTCAAAAGAGCTCTAAGTTTGTAACCTAGAGTTTAGGTTACTTGAATTACTTGAAGTCATTAAAGCTCAGGCGCTGGCTGGTATAATAGAATTCATCTTCTGTTAGTGGTTAAAAACAATCCTTCATGGGGCATTGAGGCTTCCGTTTGGAACTTACAGCTTTAAACACAACAATCGACTCCATCAAAATATTGATTCTTACTCTATTAAGGTGCTCTGCAAGCTTGAATTATTACTTAYGTGAATACTTTAAAGGTATTTAAGCCTTGAGAAAAGTAGCTTGCCTGCAAGCTGCAGAAGGCTACCATGCTACAGCAAAYGCCTGTTCCAGCTCTTAATATTACTTGCTTAAATTCTGTTACCCTACATCAATCCCCTATGGGAGGTTAGTTCTGTAATTATAAAGTGATCAGTGCTCAGTCCTCAGCCTTATGCCTGAGCAATGGAACTCCTGCAGTGTTGTCCTATACTCTGGAAGGTGGCAGAACATCCCCTTCGTCTTAGCCAKCTGTGGAGTGATGAAAACATGTGAAGTTGTTATTGATTCTGCTGTTAGTTTCTGCCATTGTTTCTTGKTAGGAGGTTACAYAGAAGAAAAATGCAGCAGGCAGAAAGGAWGGGAATGYCTGGACAAAGCTAATGCTCCAGCCCAAAGCTAAGTTTGGTCTCTGCTATGTTAGTTGGATGTCTTGCAGCCACTTGCAAAAACRTAGTGAAGGAAACGAGGCTTGCTTTTTTCAAAAGGTCTATAATTTATTGTGGACTTTGAGCTCTCAGCCATTAGCTCCTAAGTTACAYCAGCGATGCAGCCCTCGGCAGCCCTACAGTTTACAACACCAGGGAGGAGGAGTGCCTGATCCAAYCAATGCACCCACGGTCGGAGGAGGTCACTGCAGAAGAGCTGGTGGTGGGAAGGGGTCGACAGGGAGACAAGCAGGGTTGGAGGGTTGTGYRCAGGTGTTTTTGGAGCAGAAGTAGCTGAAGGCCAAGTTTCGGACTTGAGTTTCAGACTAATGAAAAGATGGATGCTCAAATTATTTTTCTCTTCTGCGTTAGAAGGATATGCTCATTCAGAAATGTTCAGTACCCTGTTTCAGGTGGTGAAAACCAGCCTTGGGTCCTACGGACGTATACACAGACAGTTTCCAGGCAATGCATTCCTCACACAAACACATGCAGTTACAACGACATTCTACTGTTTAAACTTTCTCAAATCCAGTTTTGCAGTACAGCAGGGTATATCTGAGGAGAGAGATCAGGCCCTACACTGAACAAGAACAGAAGCCTTTGGCTTGGTTGGGGCACGTTTAATCTGCCACTTCAATTCCCAGATCTTCACATTTCACCTGTGAGGAAAGAGAACACCCAGTGAGGGAAGGGCAGGCTCAAGGGCACAAAACACAACTCCCACGGCACAGCTGGGGCTCTGGGGTTGCACTCTTTCAAGCGCAGTTCTTCATCGCAGCCCCCTTATACAACTGTAGCTCAGCAACTCGAAGGGGAGGATTGTCCCTCCCCAACTCCTCACTCTGCTGGCCCAGCTTTAACCCTCACACACTTAGACAGTGGGGTCATTCAACTCCCTACATGGCAATAAACAAACAACTTTCCCTAAGTTTGCATTCATGGAATCACACACACAATCCCAGAAGGGTTGAGGTTGGAAGGCACCTCTATAGACCATCCAGTCCAACCCCCTGCTCCAGCAGGGACACCTGGAGCACAGGGCGGCATCCAGGCGGGTTTGGAGACCTCCAGAGAAGGAGACTCCACAGCCTCCCTGGGCAGCCTGTGCCAGGGCTCTGGCACCCTCACAGGGAAGAAGTTCCTCCTCACATGGAGATGGAGCTGCCTGTGTTTCAACTTGTWCCCACTGCCCCTTGTCCTGTCACTGGCCAGCGCTGAGAAGAGTTTGGCCCCTTCCTCCCTACATTCTCCCCTCAGGTATTTGTACACGTTCTTAAAAATAAATAAATACACACTCCTCTTTTCTCCATAGAGCTGCACAGTCAGTACGCTCCTGTTGACCACAGTATGTTGGTCCAGCACCAAGGCACCGCAGTGCTGGACCAAATGCTGAAAATCTAACTCATGAAAATCTAACCCAGATAACCTTGCTGCTCCCTCAAAAGTAAAAAGGTAAAATAAAGCCTCTCTCCACAGTAATTACTGCCTTCATACAGAGCCCCCAAGGCTCTTCTGAGCAAATGCTCTTAGTTTTGCCACACGCGGGGCTGTGGAGCTGGTGTAACTGTCCACTGTAACAATGATACATCTTTGTTGTTACACATTTACAGCTTTGACAACAACTGAAAAAAAAATTCACAAATTCAAAATCCATTTTTAAACTGCTGTGTATTTCAAAGCAKTAACTGCTTTTGCTAATAGTGGTTACATGTTTAGACTTGTAAGAAGTTTCCTCTTAGGGGAAGGCTAAATAACAAATCATGGTCCCACCCTGTTGTCCTATTGTTGTCACCATAATGAAACACCAACAACTTGGGCTTCTCCCTGAGAAAGAGCCCCTGTGCAGTCAGAGGTTTCGCTACCTTTAAGCTTCCCTGAAGCACGAGGCATAGSAGGTGGGAGAATAACCACCCCACAGCTGCTGCTGCTGAGCTGGTTTCGGGAAAAGCCACCCAAGGGGAGCCCTCTGCAATGTAGAGGCAGCAAACCCTTGGCCTGTTGCACAAAGTTGGGAAACAGCCCAGGACAGCAGCAGCTCCTTTGTAAAGGCTCTTGAGCTTTATTTGCCCAGCTGGCTTAGTCCGCGCTGCCACTTAGCCCGGGCCCCCAGTCACTGCCCCAGAAGCCAGCGCCGCTGGTTGCGCCTCCCAGGGCTGTTGCTCGGCAGCCTGGAGGCCTCCAGCCCCGGGACACGAGGGAAAAGGGCCCCGGTGCCGCCTGCTCGGCCACCACTTCAATCTAGCTGCCCTYGCTGTGCAGCACTGTGTTTGATTTATGCTCATTAGACACTTCCCAGCTCTACCAGTGGTTATGTTTTTCTCCAAGCTCTTGCCTGTTAATTTAACAAGGGACAGAGAGCAGATTCCTTGTAACTTGAGACATTCATTTTATAGTGCAAGAGAAGGCACAAATTAGCAGGCAATACATGATTTTGGGCCTSTTAAGTACTAGTTTTTAATATAAATGCAAGACTTGCAAGGTTKGACTGATGTGACCCCTTTTCTGCAATGTTTTATCTTCAGGCAGTGCCTTCTAGTTTGCTGCAGTTCTGCCCATTTCTGAGTCACAGTTTCAATAGCCCCCAGGGGCAGGCTGGGTGTCCCCTTGCAGCTGGCGCTGCCCTTTTGCTTTATGGCCCTACAAGGACCTCATCATCACYCCATAGAGGCATGGGAATCTGATACAAGTTCCTGTGTTCCCCTTTTACAAAACACACACAGATAGAAACAGAGGAAAGATGCCAGGAAAAGGTGGGGAGGCAGCGTGAACAGCCCCCTTGAGCAGCAGATAACCTAAGCAGAAGAGGCACATTTAGAGATTGTTCAAGCAGGGAAAATATTCACAGGAGAAAAAGCCTCATTAGTCCTGACCCTCATACAAATCCTAGGGAATTGTATAGGGCTAGTGGATAGAAATACTAGCTTGATGCAGTACAATAGGTGCAGATCAAGACCTGGGAACTGACCATTGCTTACAGCCTTTCACTCTACAAGCTTCCTGTGGGTGCTGTATTAGTGCAGGAGATCCTGCACGTTTCCAGTCATCCCACAGTGCTCTTTCAAGTGCCATAGCTTTCCTGTCTTTTCCCACAGATACTTTTTCCTACCCCTTTCCTTTGCTAAGGCATGTGGCCATTTTGCTGAGGTCAGACTCGAGATTCGCTTCAGGAGACTTTGTCACGGTGCCTCCAAGGAGAGCTCACTGCTTCGGGGAGCACTGCAATTCGGCCTTTTACTGTCATCACTCCTCAGCACTCCTCTCAGGAGGCCTGCCTAAGCCTGCGGACCAGCTCAGCTGAAGAGGCTGCTCCCCTTCTTCTGAGGTTTGAGGGGAGACGGGTAGTGTCCTCATTAAAAAAGTTCTCCAGCAGTTTCATACTAGGGCACTTAAAATCTTTTTACTTTTTAATACTTTTTAAAATCAGTAGTACTAAGCATTACTTACACTTTGGATTTTAAAACTTTGCTTCCCGCTTTCTGTCAGTTTGTGGCTTGGATTCTAAAAAGACTATTTTTACAAGTAAAAGGTGAAGCACTTACCACATTTCTTCCCTCCAGCAGGAACACTGTGGTGCAGGTGTCAGCAAGTCGTGATCCACGCATTGACAAGGCTTCTCTTCATAACTCCTTCGACTCGTTATTGAGCTAGAGTTTAAAACCTCTCAATATGAACTGTATCAATGTTCAGTTTTGTGTTAAGGAAGAGGGAGAAGACTTAATTTTCATACTGAAGAACAAGTTAAAAAGGCAGTTTCTGGAAACATTGATAAGCTGTTTTTGGAGACATATAGGCCCCTAATGCATTGGTTTAGCTGTAGGTTTGGGTTTTGTTTAGTTTTGGACATGGTTGGTCAGTCACATTCCATTCTCCTGTGCTTCTCAAAAGATAAAGGCATCACAAAAACTTGCACCTGCTGGTGACATCAGGAAACTACCACCTGACAATTTTCCAGATTTTGAGTAGGCATTTATAAGAATATTCTGAAGAAAATTTAGGATGAAACATCTGCTCTACAAAATACAAATTCAGATTCTTTTTTCCCCAGCTGAAACCTCTGTCATTTTCTGGAACATTCACTCTAAAATTAAAAAAAAAAAAAGAATATATTGCTTCTATTGAAGCTCAATATAAGTTAGAAAAAGAATTGCATATTTTCCTTAAAAACATTCCAAATATACATCTAAGAAACAAAATGCACTCCAAAACAAGTGTCTAGTAAGAGACACTGTTTTAAACAACCTGCAATTAACAGCTTTAAAAAAAAAAGGAATGTAGGACATTTATAACATGACAATACTAAAATCCTAAACAACTCATTTAGCATTCTTGGTAAGTAGTGTTTTAAATATACATCTCTTTACAAAACCGTTTAGCAATTCCTTATACCACTTACAGTATATAAATATTTGAATAAGAGATCCTAATAGGAGATGCCAGGGTTTATATTTACTMTCAGATGCTTCAGGTTTAATAAATGTTTCACTATAAGGCACAATACTTCTAATCCAAAAGAAAGGAATAAAAGCTAATGATAAACCCAGTCAAAATTCCTAAGAAGATGGAACCACCAAGAAAAGAATTCTAGCATCTACAGACAAAAAAAAAAAAAAAAAAAAAAGCTTCATAGAACATCTTAGGAAATGGTTCCAGCTTATACATAAGGAAGTGAGACAGGATGGGAGCAGGAGTAAGGAGTTCAGTAAAATCTTATAAATAGACTAATAAATATATTTTTAGCCATAATTAGCCCTTTACCTCCATTCTACTGAGTTTAAGATTGAAAGAGGTAACCAGTGTGCATATACCTAAATAAGTCTACATGCTCAGCACGTTAAGACCCCCAGCACAACCTATTACTGCCAAATTCAGTATAAAAAGCTAGTGAGCTGGAGAAAGCCTCCTTTTCTCTCAGTATCCACTCTGAGTGGAACACATTACAAGATCACATCAGCATTCATTACATATAAGGAAATTTGTAACTATTACTTTTTCATCTTGAAAAAGGATATGTAGCATATCCATGAGTTATTTGATTTCTTCAAATAATCCTTAGAGTGTGGGTTTTTTTTTCCCCTTTCTAAGAGCATCTATCTCCAATTGCAATACATCAGAACTTTCAGATCATTTTAAGAGCTCTAGTCTTGTAAGTGTTCTCTGGGTGTAGGTACTGAATGTAAATAGTGCATCCAAAATATTTACCGTTCACCATTCTGCATGGCTTTCACTGCCCTAGTCTTCATCTTTGTTACAGCCCTCTGGAACACAACGACATTGTAATAATGTTTACAGAAAAAGGGTTATTGCATCTTTTTTTGTTGGTTTTTTCTTTTTTTTAGGATGAGACATCCAGAGGAAATTTTATAAAATCCTCTTTTGTACAAAATTCTAAGTTATTAGCCCTTTTGGAACACCAGCTAGAAAAGTTTGAAAGGTAAAATAATTTACATTGTTATTTTCCATTAATTAGACAAAAGTTCGTACTAATTAAATAAAAAATAAAAGTTCTTTAACAGTCTGTTCAAGGTATCTTCCATGAAGCAGTTCAATGGGTACTTCCATTAGACAGATGTTCTCCATGCCGGTTATTACTGACATCCACATCTAGAAATGAGGAATTAGAAGATAAATTGTTTGTTTGTTGACCATTTTATTGCACTTTACCTGTTAACTTCATCTCCAGAAAAGAAAAAAAGAAAGAAAAGGAAAAAAGAAAAACAAAAAAGCCATGCTCAGATATATCTAAGGTTTTCAGGGTCTTCTAGGTGAGTAATCCTCTCAAAACCTTATTTACATCTCTCAAGTCAAATCTCCTTCAGCTTGGCGGGAGCCTACCTGTAATTTTTGAATACTGGTAACAACTCCATTCAATCTGGTCAGCATTAGGCCTACTAAAAACACTCAAGAAAGGCTTCTTCCAACCCAAGTAGCGGCACTAAGGCTTGTCAGGTGATATACCCCGTTATTACTTACCGAGTAACGCTGTGGTTTCCCCTGCATCCTCTTTCAAGCTGGTGCACTGCAATACCGACTCATTAGTGGAGGAAGCCGACAAGTCGCTCGCTTCGTTTCGCTCGTCCTCTTGCAAAGCGATGCTCAGGCTGCCCACCGAAACGCTGCCGCTTATCGATTCCGGTATGGGCACGTCGAGCGTGTCTTCCGGGTCCCCCTTCAAAATGAAGCACAGGGGCTGACACTTGGCTCCGCCAGCAGCAATCAACAGCCTCCCATTACAGCACTTTGAAATCTGACCTTACTGGGAAAAGGATAATTCTCCCCCATTTTCCACACTCAACGGGGACAGAATCGAGCGGCATCTGCTCTCAGTTTTAATATTTGACTGAAAAATCAATAAAGCAAGAAGAGCAACTGCAGCAGGCTACTGAGCTCGCCTTCAGGATCGAGTGTCCCAGCGCTTGTTAGCAGCTTTACGGCTGCAGGCTGCTTCGGAGCCTGCTGAGCCCACACAAAGCCTGCTAACTCTGTGCAAACTTCTACTGAGTTTGTAGAAACTGCTCTTTTTCACGACACTAGGTTGGGAGGTTTGCACTGGTTTTATTGTTTTTACTGAGGCAAGCAAACTTTTGATATCAGAACAAACTTCCTTCCTCTTCTTCCAATAGCATATCCTAAATCCTTCCAGAAGATGAGGATGCCACCATCTCAGTTTACCAGAATAAAACACCTTCAACACAAGTGATTTATCTCTGCTATTATCTAACGTGATCTGCTTTACTAAAACCAGCTCTCAGAAGGGATCAGAGAAGTCTCACACAGGTCTGTTTCTAAAATTAAACAGACCTCCTTCAAGAGTCATTGCCATTAATGTTATGAAATAAATGTAAGGGCATTATTTATGCACAGGCAAGTACACACTGCAGTGTGATGTAGCTATTTCCCTGGCTTTTTAATTAATAGTCCTCCTGCTCTGCTCCAAACAATGAGCAAACTCCACTCCTATCTCCTTAAGACTTCTGAACTTCTAGGCTGGTCTATTCTTTAGTATCAAGGCAGCATAGTTTAAAATGTGCTCAGTTTCAGCAAGTTACAGAATAGTTATGTTTAAAGACAAGTTAAGACACATGACAATTAATCTCCTAGTTTCGTTGAGGGGTGTGTGTAGCAGTTAATGATTTCCGTTAAAAAAAAAAAAAAGTTAAATAGGCACCAAAGTTACAAGATTCAACAATGCTCCATGAAATCAGTAAGCTGAACAGAGTGAATCTTTTTTTTTTCCCCCATAAGAAAAAAAAACATAATGCAGACTCAGCTCATTGAAGTCCCTTGTTTACAAAACAAGAGCAAGGAGAGAGAACTCAATAACTTCTTTCTACTTTAAGCTCTTAAGACCTGAAGGACATATGGAAAATAGATGTGTTTAAGATTGCATTTGGCCTCCAGGGCCTTTGCAGAAGGTGCACTGGATTTCAGTAGCAGGGCTGCACATCGCGGGCTGCAGTCACGTCGCTCGGGGAGCTCACCASTGGCAGGAGCTCTCTTGCTCCTCACACCTACTTTTTCTCTTAGTGCCAGCTACACATTCACACAATCACTCTATGAAGCAGGCTGAGCAACCCGAATCAAGCTGAGAGCTAACCTAGATAAAACACTGAATCATTTTGCACGTTACTAATTTCAGCGGAGCTTGGATGTTTACAAGAAAGCTCATTTCCCTCGTTCCCCTAGGAAAAACACGGGCTTCTGTATATAACGTCATATGCTTCGACCCACTTCCAACATTTTTTTCCTAAAAAGCACAGATATTACTACTCTTCATTAAGCTTGGTATCAGCATCCACTAAAACAGTTCAAATTCAGTGAAGAAAAAATACGTTCTGAAGGACTTTTTTTTTTTTATTATTCAGACCATAAAAAAAATAACAAAAAAATCTCTATGCATACAAAGATCAGATCAACTTCCAGAACTGAAAATAAGCCAAAATAAGCTATTAGTGCAGTCATATTAATATAATTAACTGTAGCTGTTCCACGTGACCAAAAAGAYTACACATTCTGGGTGAAGTCAGATTCGATGTACAGAGCCACCACAGTCTGGTATACATGACATTACAGGTACACTGGTGCCTATGGCATTTTAGTGGAACTCAAGACTACTGAGCAACAGCGACCGAGTAACCTACCGCATGTGTCTTCATCTCTCTTTTCTGGTGCTGTCAGAAAGAAATGAAAGCACATCGTTTTGTCCAGTTACGTAAGGCCTGGTGAAAGTCTTTTGGAAGATTCTGAGTACCGGTCCATTTACAAGGATAAGACATTGGGCATACGTAGAAGCATACATAAACACAACTTGGAAACGCTAATTTCTTCCTTTGAATCAGAGCTYTCCACAAGACAGCATATATTCTAGATGTACTGAAATCAGCTAGATKTGGGCAGCTTAGGCAAATTGCCTCACTTCTGCTTTAATTTCATTACTATTGTCAGCTGAAGCTAGAAAAACTTGGTTATTACAGAAGAAGAGTACATGGAGGATTAGCCCACTGTGCAACACAGTTTAAGCTATTACTCATAAAAATCCCCTATTTTTCTGGTTCTCTCTCGATCACGCTGGCAACTTTGCTCAGCTTCCTCAGRCTAGGCAAGCAACAACTGATCTCATACTCTGAATGGTCAATGGTGAAATCTTGTTTCTCACATTGTGYAACTGTGCAACTTACCCAGTATCCCAAAGCTTTAATAACATCTAGTTTACACATCGGACAAGTTCGGTGGTCCAAAAGCCAAGGGTCAATGCACGTTCTATGAAAGATATGCCTAAAGAAAACAAATATGCATTAGAACTTCTTATCATTACAGATTTTATATTAAAAGACAAGCCAATTCTTTCAAAATCTTGATAATTATCCTACAGCTCATATAGATAATATTTTTAAAGTATCATTTTGCAGTCTAAGTGATTGAAGAAAAAATTATATTCTGTAAGTTGCAACAGTTGAGATAAAGTTCTGAAGAATTGCATTTTTCATCTTAATACACAGAACCACCATGCATATGCATATTGCATCATTATCCTTGCAGAGCTACTGCCAGTATTTTAGTGGCAAAACTCTAAAAATTGATTTAACAGCTGCTATACATATGAGAGCAGCCATTTTAAAGCTCAAAAAGTCCATAACATCACATGCGTAAGGGGGTTTTCCTATGATTATCCAATTACAATACATTGAAATGTTGAGGATCTTCTCATATTTAGAGTTACCCATGTTTTCCCTAGCAAACCCAGCTTCCAAAACAGATGGTGACATGTGAACTGCCCATCCCAGCTATCCCTGGCATGCTTGTATGCCTGAGCTATACCTACAAATTGTTTGGGAGCATAGCACAAAGCATAGCAGAGCACAAAGCATAGCAGATAATGTAATAAAAAGTGAGCAGCTTTTCAGTGTGCAGGAATGTTTCAGCATTTTGTAACTCACTAGGACAGGTATAAGCACAAGTTCTTAATTACACACTAGGCTTCTTAAGAAACACGTTACTAACCACCAAACTCACTGAATCAGCAGTTCAACCATCTACAGTTCTAACTTGCACCACTAAGAGGCTCTAAGTGCYACCTATATCCATATAAAGTGCTGGGCAGCCTCCCAGAGCCCTTTGGGATGTAAGTGGCCATACAAAGGGCATGGCTTCAGCTCGGCACACAGCTCTCCCTTCAAAGCTCCAGGAGAGTTTCCAGACAGATCACTGCATATTTCTAAGGGAAAAGCCAGGRAGGGGGAGAGAACAACTTTGGTAACTTACTTGCATGGCAGAATCCGGACAGTATCTTTCAGTTTATAGTTCTCAATACATACAGCACAGTTTTCCACATCAACATCTAAACCCTAAAGATGACRACACATTTAAGTACCTTATTATATACTATACACTATTATACATTATATATTATTATTATGTTCCATTACAATAACAAGCTGCACATCTCATATATACCTTTGCAAGARGGTGTTTCTGGAATGGTCTAGCAAATAAACTGCTTCATTTAATGCAAGATTCCATCAAGAGGCGATTTGATCAAGTGATTCCAAAGATGAAAACCAGTCAAACTCCAGTTACTAATTTATACCACTGTAACTGACACCTTAAGCCACTTGTTAAATGACAAACACTGCCTGTGTTCATGGGACCACAATAAAACTTTAGTTGAACATCGATACAACAGCAAGGAGGTTTGAGAGGTCCACAGAGATGCAAGTGTGTCTAATTCTTAACTGATGGTCCCAGCACTTGCTAGCACTGATGTAGGAAGAGATTCTGAGGGCKGAACATTACAAACTCTTCTTTCCTCACAGTTTTCTTCCTTCTATCTCATTTTAGGAAACAGCCTTAGGATGCTAGGGGAGAACTGAAGTAAAGAATTTGCAGGATTTTAAAAATCCTCTCCAACCCCATAACAAAGATATTGTCAAAGCAGAGTTTTTCCCACTCTCCCCAGGTTTGATTCTTTCAAAAGATCCCGACAGGTCATATATAACAGGCTACATATGAAGGATATATTCTGGAGAAATAATTCAGTGTTAGTTGGGTTGTATTAAAAACCAAGTATTAGAAGAACAGAGCACAAGTGCACCCATCCCTCATCCCCACAGAATAAATACTTTGTTTGCTGCTTACTGCACTATTTCAATATCAGTACTGCAAATGTTCATATAAATTACTACTACAAGCAAGCTTTCAAGATCAAAGCMTTTTTTGCATGCTATCAACCCACATAATTAAGGACTTAAGCTCTTATACAAGTCAAATTAAGATTTGTTTCAACAAAAGCAGAAAAAACAAACAATACTTATTCTACTGCAAATATTTTTAATTCTGGACAAGAGGCAAAGTCCAAGCACACCGTATGTAACACATAATCAAGTGAGTGTCCATTTTACAATAATCCCTTAAGCTTCTCAGGAAAGATCTAGATGATAACAAATTCACTTTTTAAGGCTGACCTATTTTTAGTTAAATGCCTCAACTCTGCGTGAAATAATGAAAGGTTGTCCTGTGTCACAGTAAGATAAATATACTCTTTCAATAACTGTGACTAAATGAAAGGAAATATTTAAAAGTCTACATTTAGGGAGTAGACAAGTCTATTTTCAGATGAACTCATATCAGTTCACAAAAGCGCATTTGCATCACTAAGTGATCTAAGATTGCTGATTCAAACCAAATGATAAAACATAATTTATCAAGGATAAAACCTGTATTTTATAGATTTTAACATAATTTCATTCTACTTTGCAAAACCAACGTGGCATTCATAGCTACAACCAATACA